CAAAACATGCATACTATAGTATGGTAAATCTTTCTGGCCATATTGCATGCAATATCCGCAGCAGGTCGGACCTGCTTTTTTTCTGATTTGTCTAATATGGATGGTCAGTGATTGTCTATCTGATAACTGGACATTTTTAACAACTTAAAGGGAAAACATACTTGCAGAATTATTTGTTTAATTGTTTGAAAATAGTTTTGTACCATAATTATATTGTTGATAAAGCACCTTGTTCGTTTCATACTGGACAATAATGTAATACATGTATCCAAAGCATTCATTGATGGAGTATGTAGATAATAAGTAGTATTTCTATATCTACTTGCACATTCTTCCTATCTGTTACAACACTAAGATGTAGGATATTTTCACATTTTGAAACAATAAGTTGTTGACATTTCAAAAAATGGGTAACCCTGGAAGCCAACCACAGTTAACTTCAAAAGAAAACGAAAGAAATAAACGTAGTAAATGATATGTTGTCGGTTTGGAATATTGGTGACACACAATTGTTACCTGCATATGACGAAAACCAACAATCAGCTTGACTACAATGAGGTTTGTGATATGCAGGCTTCATAACCTCTGATCCCCTTTCAAAATTCCATTTTATTTAGTTCCGCCCATTGTTTTCTCGTTTAGGGCACACGCTTTTTATTACTTGGGGACCATACGCCGCTTTTCATGGAATGGCACGGTAGTGTCACATTGAAGGTTCCATGATAACCGCCGTATGAACACATCTGCGGATGTTTCTAAATTCAAAATTTTACCATTTCATGTTTAAATGTTGAATTCTGCTTAAGCCGGTGCTAGGGGGCGTGGACGGTAAATTGCACTTCCAGTACCGTCCATGAACAGGCTCAATCAAACCGAGCCTGCAACATTTTCAATTTTGTCGTGTTGGGCTTTCTTTAGGGATTCTGTATTTATCTATTTTGTGTTGTATGTATGGTCGGTGACATACCAGTATATTCATTGGTAGTGTTTGACAAACGGTACCATTATAAGTGCTTGCCATCTAATGTACCAACAGATACAGATCTGAGTTAAGTAACAGCACAAAATGGCTTTGAAGATATGCTGCAGAGGAGTAATTGTTGAAACTGTTAACAACACACTCTGGTGATATTGTTAAAGTTTATGCTACCAGTTAACATTTTGAACTTGTATTTTGACGTGTTGGGCTTTCCTTAGGGATTCTTTTTTCTCTATTTTGTAAAACCTGTTGTGCGATTTATAAATAATCTAAGGACCGATTTTAGTGATAAGTGCAAAACTGTGATAAAACTGCGTTTCAAGGAAAGTCCTTAATACAATTGTAAGACTAAACTTAGGACTATTCCTAAAGATGCCTCCGGGTACTCCTTACTTTTGTCTTAAGTCATAAATACAGAAACAAGTGCTGAAAAATCATTGCAGTTCTTGTTTTATTGTCTGATATAGATTTATAAGTAAAAAGAAAAGGGCATTAGTGACGAAAAATCTGTTACCAGCAAGTATTATTTAGTACATGTTTTTCAATGATACGATTTTTACATATAACAACAACAATAACAACTTCAATGCTTGTAAAAACTTTTCAGATAAATCAAACTTTTGTGAAATTAAAACATTTTTGCTTACCAGTGTTAGATTTATTCATGAAATGAATCCATTCCATTCATATAATATATGATTGACCCTGTGACTGATTAAGTGTTGAGAATTGAGTACCGCTCAAGCCGTTGCACGTATTCATTATTCCTCATGTACAGACTCAATCAAACCGAGTCTGCAATTCTTTTGTAATTTTTTGTGATTAATGCTTCCGAGGGATCACTTTGTTTCCAGATTTTTAAGTTCGGGTATGTTTTGATTTCGGGTTATGATTAAATATTCAGTAAAAAATGTAAATATACATAAAATTCAAACATGCTTTTCCAAACAGATAAAGCAGTTTAGTGCATTATTACATGAAATAAATGCATGGTATGAAACAGAAAGGTTAATACATAAAATAATATAGATAAATACAGAATCCCTTAAGAAAGCCCAGACACGGCAAAATTGAAAATGTTGCAGGCTCGGTTTGATTTACCGTCCACGCCCCCTAGCACCGGCTTAATCAGAATTCAACATTTGAACATGAAATAGTGAAATTTTGAATTTAGAAACATCCGCAGATGTGTTCATACGGCGGTTATCATAATACTTTTTCATTGAGTTAAATATGGAATATTTTTGTCAAGAAACATGTCCGCCTTAATATGCTAATGCTAATAAAGAATGGTTAAAAAAATAGTTTCCATACAATTATAACATTAATGATAATAAGTAAGGTAATACATAAGAAATATTAATGTATAATTTCAATTATACACCATTATTATATTTTACCAGTATCTGCTATATCATCTGTCATTCTTTACTATTTCATATGAAGATTGCTAATTGCATGATAAAACAAAACTGATTATTTTTATCTCCATTAGGAAGATTTTGTCTTAAGAGTAAAGTTAAAACTTCTCCTAGGATCAAGAGTTAGGACAGTTTCTTGAAACGCTCCTAAGTGCAATCTTATTCCAGGGCCTTACTTAAGTCTTATGTTTTAGACTAACGATTCTTTGTGAATTGCACTCCTGCTTCATATTCCAATATCAGTCTAAAAGTATGAGAATCTTTCCAGGTAATATACATTTATATCCGAACCAATAGGCAAGCATGGGTCTCCTCCCTTTAACTTTAACAATATTAATTTAGTGGTGTTTGACCTGGCAAATGTTACTTTTATGTAGAATTCTGGAAACAAAGTGATCCCTCGGAAGCATTAATCACAACAAAATAACATAAGAATTGCAGACTCGGTTTGATTGAGTCTGTACATGAGGGATAATGAATAAGTGCAACATCCCTCACGCCCCCTAGCACCTGCTTGAGCGGTACTGTTTTTAATTGGTCAAGTTACGTACCAAATATTTCCAACTATAACATAAACAAGGTGGGTTTTTTTAAAGTCAAAGTGTATTAAAATATTATCAGTTGAGCGACCAGAGCCCTCTTGTGAAATGTTTCTCAGCATTTAAATTTAAAAGTATTAATAGGTAACATAATTTGTTCAGTTCTGGTCTTTGAATCAAAATCCGAGACATGGTTCTGTTTATTACCCAAAGGAAAAAGTAGACAAGCTTTTTTAATGAAAAACTTGCAAATCATCATTGTTAAGCCTTCCTGTCAAACAGTTTCTGCAAATATGTACACATGCTAGTTATTTAATGTTGCCTAGAGATACCTAGACAATTGTTTTCGTCTGTGTCTAAACCAATTTCCTTTTCACTATCAAAGAAACAATATTAAACTTAATTGTATCGAATCTTTACAATACATGCAGCAGACAACACTGTCTATGAAGTATGAAAAAAATTGTCTGTCAGGTATATTGGATGTATGAGATAAGTGTTTTGTTTCATCAACCTATTCGATTATAGTAAGTGATGCAATGACAACATTGACAGCACTAATCTGTATTTAAAGCGATAACAATGTGATACCCCTGTGTAATATCTATATGTTTACCTTTAATAAAAACCGCCTCCGTGGTCGAGGGGTTAGAGTCAATGACTTATTATCCAGTTACCTCTCTGGCGTGGGTTCGATCCCCGGGAGATGCTTTGGTAGTTTAGCGCGGGGGAAGGTAGTCTAGTACTGGTGTAACTCTCCAGGAACGATGGTGAGGAAACTACCCGCCTATATGACTGAAATACTGTTGGAAAAAGGCGTAAAATCAAACAAACAAACAAAACCTTTAATAAAAACGAGAATAAAGATCATCAACAAAAAGGCAACGTTCACAGGACGCAGCCCCAGACAAACCCAAGCAGGGCACTAAGCAATACCCAGGAGTGGAAATAAGGGCGGCGAAAAGAGAGGGACATTTAATGTGTGAAATAATAAAAACTTAAACGGGCACATATGTGAATTAAAGGGTTTAAGGGCTGTAAGTGTTAAATGGCGTGGGGGTAAAAAAATGGAAGTGGGGGTAAGAAAATACCTACCGTCAACGACAATTCAACAAGACAGACCTCACAAAACCTTTAAACATTCAAAACAAAACAAGTAACAATACACACATGAAAAACACGTGAAGGAACACAGAGGGTTACCGCCCTGGAACTTTCATGTTAGTGAGTCACATAATTATCTGCTTACATAGATAAATATTCATATAATAGAAAAAGTAGCGTATTGCAGTCAAACCAATTGCGTTTTTGATTACTTCATGAGAGGTACAGCAATGCGAAAACAGAATTTGAAGGCGGTCATGTTATACATTTATCTTGGGTAAATGATGCTAGTCCATCTGTTTTTATTTCTTTAAAATGGATGCATTATTATTTTATTATATCTAAATACATTTATAAAACTCATAAGGTTTTCAATGCTTTTTTCTTCTTCTTTTTTTCTACATAATTTTCATTATAACGATGTTGAAGATGTCATATATAAAACCATTTAAATTATTTAGAAATTTTATATTTGACTAACTGTATGTAATAGCAAAGTACCTACCATATCTTTCTCCTCTATGTTACCGATGCTATATTTATACAAATCATGTTTTAAACTACATGATATTAGTTTAACAAAATATCATATTTAAATAGTTGAGGAAGTGGAAATGTTTCTTCATAAGTTTTACTACCCAATCATTAAATCAAAATGATAATGATTAAGCTACCCTGTTAAACTCACCGTGTTTTAATCTACAATGTCATTCCTTAGTTTTTCGTTCCTGAATAGCTGTAAAAAGGTTTCAACCTTTGAAATCATGTGAATTGAGTTTACGACTCAATTAAAGTATATATTTTGACATAGAACATTTCTGTAATACAAATTTTATCATTTATATTAACTAGTTTAGCAATAGAAGAAATGTATTGATATCAGAGAAATTATATGTTTTTATTTGAATCAAAACTGTGCTATTTATAGTGTATTATGTTATCAGTTTAAATGATGATCATTTTAAACAAAAACAGTTTAGAATGTTTGTTATAACAAACATGATGATAAAAACCTCCCGTTTACACGTAATATTTTGTTTGCATTAAATCCCGAAACCTGCATGTATTTCAAGAGTGTAATACATTTGAGACTGCATGTTTATTTTATTATTTTATTACCGTATAATAAATCAAATAAAGACATAAGATGATGGTGAAATGTTTGATTTTAACTTCCAAAATGTTTCAAATTTAAGTTGTTAAGTGGCAGGTTGTTTGCTTATGCTCTTGCCAAACCAGGAAAATATTATTAGCAAGGTTTCAGGTATTATCGTTACAACAAATCAGAAACTTAAGAGATTTTCACTTAACAACAGAGGAATTTGTTTTTAATGTGGTAGGAGAAATGGATGATGGTCCTTATGATGCCGACATGGCTGATTTAAGTATATGGAATGATGCTGCTCAATATGAAAACACAAACAAAGTCTCGGGAAAAAAATCAGAATGTGATACTCAAAAAGATGAAGAATCGCATTATGAAACGCTGCATTTAGAAGAATTGGACAAACCTAAAAGTAAAACAGAAATTCAGGACAAAAGTTTGAAGCGACTTAAATGTGTAATTTATATCTTGATAGTGTTGATAATTGTTCTTTACGTTACCCTCATCTCTATGATAATGATTATGTTTCTGCCCAAGGATTCAAGTAAGTTTTATTTTTGTTATTATTATTTTCATACTAATTTCAAAACATAGTTCTATCATAAAAAACAACTTTTATAATCAAATTGTTTAAAAATTTTCAATATATGCTTCCTTCATTTCGTAAATAGCTTTATTAATTTGTGCTTTAGCCCTATAAATACTTTAATATTTAATTACAACTCAGTCGATGGTCAATGGGCAGATTGGTCAAGCTGGACTTCGTGTGACGTGACGTGTGGTAATGGAACATATCTACGGACAAGGGCATGTTTAAATCCAGAACATAAGAATAACGGAAGTGATTGTGTCGGAGAAAGCTTGCAGAGCAGTGATTGCTTGAAAGAGAGTTCAATACTCTAACACAATAAAAAAACTATATTGTATGAATAAATTCGAATATGTTTTTTTCTCAAAGCGTTTGCGTTTCCATAAAGAAAACAACATAATTTGCAAACATAGCCTTTCTTTGTCGCACCTTGTTAAAAATTGTTGGAGCTTGGTGTATTTAAGCTCACCTGAGCTTGCTCAGGGTGAGCTTTTAGGATCCCTGAATGTCTGTCGTCTGACGTCCGTCCACACTTATTCGTTAACACTCTAGCGGTCACATTTTTGCCTCAATCATCATCAAACTTGGTCAGGATGCTTGTTTAGGTGATAACTCGGATGAGTTTGAACATGGGTCATCTCGGAAGAAAAACTAGGTCGCAGGAGCTAAAAATAGAAAAACCTTGTTAACACTCTAGCAGTCACATTTTTGCCTCAATCATCATCAAACTTGGCCAGTATGCTTGTCTAGGTGATAACTGGGAAGAGTTTGAACATGGGTCATCTTCGATGAAAGACTAGGTCAACAGAGCTAAAAATAGAGAAACCTTGTAACACTCTAGCGGTCACATTTTTGACTCAATCAGCATCTAACTTGGTCAGGATGCTTGTCTAGATGATAGCTCGGATGAGTTTGAACATGGGTTATCTCGGAAGAAAAGCTAGGTCACAGGAGCTAAAAATAGAAAAACCTTGTTAACACTCTACTGGTCACATTTTTGACTCAAGTGTCATCAAATTTAGTAAGGATGCTTGCCTATGTAATTACTCGGGATTAATTCGAACAAGATCCATCTCGGATGAAAAGCTAGGTCACAGGAGCTAAAAATAGAAAAATCTTGTTAACACTCTAGTGGCTACTGTTTTGATCCAAATATCCTGTAAATTAGTTTAAAACTTTGTTTTGATGATTTATAGGTAAAGTTGGATTATGGGTCACCTGGGATCAAAAACTAGGTCAAACTGCCCAAATATTGCGAAACCTTGTTCACATTCTAGTGGTCCCATTTTTGACTCATTTATCATCAAACTGGATCAGGATGCTTGTCTATATCATTGTTCGGATGATTTTGAACATGAGTCATCTTGGATGAAAAAATAGGCCACCGGCGCTAAAAGTATAAAAATCGTATTACCACTCTAGTGGCTACTGTTTTGATCCAAATATCCTTTTAATTGGTCTGAAAGTTTGTTTAGATGACTTCTAGGTCAAGTTCGAATATGGGTCACCTGGGTCACACTGGTCAAATATGAATAATCCTTGTTAATACTCTAATGGTCACATTTTGACTCACCTGTCAGGCTTGTCTAAGTAATTGTTCGGATGAGTTCGATGGGTCAGGTGAGCGATCTAGGGCCATCATGGCCCTCTTGTTTTGTTTAATTTTGACCACAAATGATAGACAAGAAATGTATTGAATTAATATCAGTAAAAAGCTTACCAGGTAAGTTAATATTTTGAAACTGCACGTATAGGCAAAACAAGTTAAAGGATTGATTTTTTTTTCAAATAGTTGCCCTTGCTTTGTTGATCTTTATTCTTATTTCTTTTTTTTTGGAGGGCATTTAAAAAAATTTGAATTCAGGGAAAATTTGTAAAAAAGGTAAATAATTTTTCAGTACAAAAAAAGGGGGGATAGCCCCTCTTAACCCTTAGATGTCCAAGATGCATGTTAACACACATAAAATGTAGACTAGTAAGTTAGCATTTTAACAGCCGATTGAGAAGCATATGTTTTATTTTATTAAGAATTAATTTTCAGTTAAAAATGTACGAACTTAACGGAAATTTGCGCACTTGTTGATTCTGTAACTAGTGACATTCTATCATTGCCTATAATAAATAGTTGATAATCTATCACCAAAAGAGAGATATCTGTAAGTATTATCTTTTCAAATGATATCGCTTTTTGTGTGTCATATGACGATTCTTGTTGCTTCTTTGTTATTTTTTCAGTCAGGGGTATGTTTCTAAAACGCTAGAATAATTCGGTTAAAGTGTATGCTGATATAATTTCCTTGGTTAGCTATCGCTTTGTATTTGTTGTTTGTATATGAATACATTTTTATTATGCAACCTAATCTTAAAACAAAATATTTCTGGTTAATTTATCCTTTCGTTGTAAAATATCACCGGTATTTTAACACTGTATCAGTAACAAATATACAATTACCCGACGAAGAAGTACAATTTATGCCATACTTGTTAATTAATCAGTAATTTCAGCGTTTCAAAACATGTTCCTTTACTTTGTTTGTTAAATCAGATGTATGTTTTAATATGCCCTTTGTGTTTAAGTTACGTAAACATCGCATACAAATTGATAATACCCAACGAACGCCTTAAAACCCACGCATGTGCACTCCTTACGAAAATCCCCTTGAACATTTAAAACGGAAATATAAAATATGGCTTACGTTACAAGTTTAATTGAAATATACGAGTATAATGCCTTTCGATATTGTGAATATATTAAAACCATCTCTATTAATTGCTCATGTTACAGATACATTTTATAACCAAATAAATTCTATCAAACGTGGAAAAGGCAAAATGTCCGGCCCGGTAGAGGGTCGTTATCCATTCACCTTTTACTTTTGTTAGAAGAAAAGTACGTTTTTTTCTGAATTTTCTTGAAGAAACTGCTGACATGACAAAATGTTAATTTGCGGGAAATGACGTGTACCGTTCATAATTTATTAAGAAACTTTTATTGATCGCGAAAATTGTATTTTCTTGCGCATTTTGAAATCTAAATCGGCGTTTCTTAGTTTTTTTAAGGCCTGACATACTGTCTTTGGATTTGAGTATTGTTGTTATATAATTGACTTTCATAGCAAACAGTGACTACTTTTATTGATTTCAATAGCAACCATTGATTTTCTATAGGAGCCATGGACATTCCATAGCAGCCGTAAAAAGTACTCCCGTACTTCACGTCGTTATATTTTTCTGGTCCTTCGGGATCATTGATTCCAGCACTATTAAGTGTTGAGAATTGAGTACAGCTCAAGACTGTGCTGGGGCGTTACAATTTATTATTATCACTCATGTAAAAGACTCAATTAAACAGAGTCTGCAATTGTCATGTAATTTTTCTGTTTTTGATGCCTCACTTTGTTAGAGTAGCATAAGGGATCTCTTTAATTCCAGATATTTAATATAAATAAATGACTGAATATTTCTTAGATCGAAAAACCATTCAGAGAACAGAACATAGCAGTAGATTTATCAACTATGGTGGCTGATTTGTGCCACTCGTGTTTTCGCCCCTTGACCCCGCCAAGTGAAAAGTAAAAAATTAACAAGTAAAAATGTCAGGGGGCACGGATAAATAGTGGGAGCGCTAATTAGCGTGTTTTCGCTCCGCGCCCCGCCGTTTTATTATATGCCCGAAAGAATTTCGACATATGATGTTATACCCCCTGGCGTCCGTCTGTCCGTCCGTCCATTAGCATTTTGGTTTTCGGAACATAACTTAAGTTCCATTTGGCCCACAATATTCAAACTTCATAGAATGATTGTCAATATTAGGTAGACGACCCCGATTGATTTAAGGGTCACAAGGTCAAGGTCACTATTACCTGAAAACTGTAAACAGTTTCCGGAGCATAACTAAAGTTCAATTTGACCCACACTATTCAAACGTCATAGAATGATTGCCAGTATTGAATAAAAGATCCATATTTATATTGGGGTCGCAAGGTCAAAGGTCAATTTCAAATAACCGATAGTTAATATTGTTAAAAGTTTTACAACTGTCAAACTTCAAACTAGGATGATCACATACATGTATATTGATTACATTAATTATATGCCCTAAAAAAATTTGCTTTTATTATGTTATATTCCCGGCATCATTCTTTCTATCCGTCCTAGTAAAATCATTTAATTCCCATGTTTTACAAATGCTTCATCCTCTCTAAAAAAATCACTTTCGGGCATATAATGCTCCGCCTAGCGGTAATTTTGTTTGTTAAATCTTGTCCCGCGCCTCCGTGGGGCGAAGTTTTATCTATTAAACTTCACCCCCGTGTTTTTGTCCCGCGACCCCGCTGTTTTAACTTGTTAATTCTCGACTTTTCGTTTGGCGGGGTCACAAATCAGCCACCATATTCAACGATATATTGACAATACCCTGTACTGAATATTTACCTCATACTTAAGCAAACAAAAACATTTCCAGTCGATGGCAAATGGACACAGTGGTCAAGTTGGACATCATGTGACGTGACGTGTGGTAGGGGAAGTCAACTACGGACAAGAAGATGTACGAATCCAGCGCCCGAGCACAAAGGAAAGGATTGCATTGGAGAAAGTTTACAAAGTAGTCAATGTTCAAGAGGAAACTGTACAGGTAGATATTTTAAAATACCATACCCACCGACAGATAGGCAAGTATCCAATGGTTGATGATCTCCCGTCCATAATCTTCATAATCTTATTAACAAAATGGCAACTCAAGCTGACGGTCGGACATCAAAAATTGTGTAACGATATTTTTTGGATCCGGCGGTTTATCTGGTCATCTTCAATTTTTATGGACGGAATAAAGCTCATACCCCATTGGATATTTGAAAAGATGGATGGATGGATAAATAGTAGTTTGCCTTTTTTTCTTTTTAAAAAAAGTGTTTTTTACAGTAAAGTAGCCCTACCTTCATTTTGTTTAGTTTACCAGATAAGTCATGAAATATTTGCAACGGTTGCCACCAAGTAATTGCTTATTTTTTCAAAATGTTAGATTATTTGTATATGCTGTTTTCTAGAAAATGATACATTCATCACAAGGCTATTTGATGGACTGTTATTAATATCTGATGACAATGAGTCTTTTATTTATAGACAATCATAACAATTATTCGTTTATTTTTATCATAATAAACAAATTCTTTATTCCCATGAAATCTTCAACAATTTTACACTGTTTATTAAATTAGCTTGTTGGAGTGAAACAGTAGTTCCTTCAATATATTAGATATATATTCATTTATATTTCGTGCTTTTGAGACAAAAACGTCACGTGATATAATAGAAAGACATAAAATATATACTGTGAGTTATAAATATCATTAAAACAATTAATTTACCCTTTTTATGTCACTCATACACATGTTTCTACTTTGTGAAATAGTTTTATATGTATAAAGAATTTGCAAATTTATTTTTATGACATTTTACCTAGGTTGAAATGTAATACATTCTTTAGGAAAATATTGAGACAGGGAATTTCTGTGTAAGATTTCCGTTTCCATTAACGATATACCTAGTGTTAGAATTAGCACCTTGTAACTCAAATCTTTGTTAATCTCGAATAAAATGCCTGGTCCTGGAAATTCAACTACGATTGAGTCAACTGTACTTGAAGTTATTTTATTATAGAAATTCACTTCAGTGTTGTTATATCTTTTTTGGTCCTTCGCGATTATTGATTTTAACATATTATGTTATTATAAAACGTATGAAGTATGCATGATAAATTGTCTGTCTGGTATAATATACGGATGAGATATTTATTTTGCCTTCATCAACCTATTCGATTACAGTAAGTGCATTGAAAGGTATTATCTGTATAAAAAGGACAATTTGATACCCCTGTCTGATATTTATATGTTTATCTATTTAAAACGTTTTGTTAGTAAGTTAGTTACTTATGTATGAGATAGTTATCTGTTTAAATAGATAAATTTTCATATACTGCAAAATATAGAATATTGCAGTCATACCCATTGTGTTTCTAATTTTTTGACTCATTATTGTTATATCAAGTCCTTATAAACTAATCTTTCAAACGAGAAACATCAAAGTAAAAACGGATCTTGAAGGCGGTCAAGTTATACAAGTTATACAAGTATCTTAAACAAGATACATAGTTATATATCAATACATTTTCAAAATTAGGTTTTCAATGTTTTGCTTTATTTCAAATAATTAGTATGCATAACGATGTTGAAGATGTCATATATGTTTAGTACATAATTTAGAAAAAAATACTCAATAGTTACATGACTGTGCGTGGCCGCTATTCCTTTAGTCTAAAAGACCAATTTTGATGACAAGAAACACGTAAAGGTATATGAAAATGAATTGTAGACAATTTATCTTAAATTTTGTGATTTTAGCGGTAAGCAAATAATAGACAAAATGACAATAAATTTTGTTATAAAATTGCAAATATATCAAGATGTACACTCATGTATGTAACAATATATTCAACATTTGCTATATACCCTTTTAAAAGAAAATATATAATTATATCAATTATGTTCGTGTAGTTAATTTGTTAAATAAGATGCATGTTTTAATATGTTCCTTGTGTTTAAGTTTCGTAAACTTTGCATACAAATTGATTATTACCCATAGGCGCCTGAAAACCTACGCATATGCACTCACCTTTTACGGAAATCCTCTGGAACTTTTAATTCGGAAGTATGAAATACGGCTTAGGTGACAAGTTTATATACAATTTACAACGAAAATGAAAAGTGTATAATACCTTTCGATCTTGTGAATATTACAAGACAACTCTACAAATTGTTCATGTTACAGAGACATTTTATAACCAAATAAATTCTATCAAACGTGCAAAAGGCAATATGTCCGGTACATGGTCCTGTCCGACAGAGGATCGTAATCAAGTAAATTTTTACTTTTATAGAATCTTAGTACGTTATTTTCTAAGTTTTCTTTAAAAAGATCTGACATGACAAACTGTTAATAAGCGGGAAGTGGCGCATACCATTCACAATTTATTAAGGAACAATAATTGATCGAGAATATTGTAAAACTTTGCCAATATTCCTTGAAAACCAGGTGTCTGTAACATTAAATATCCAAAAAATGTTTTTTTTAAAACAAATGGAATGATATGCAACCAACTTTTAAAACAAAAAAGACTAATATTTTTAAAAAGAAACCCTTTAAAAAGATTTTTCACGATATAAGACAATTTTTGTTGATTTTTTTTTTTGGGGTTTCCCGTGCTTTTTGTTGGGTTTTAGGTTTTTTCGGGGCTTGGGGGGGCGTTCATTGAATTTCCTTGTTGACTTGATTTTCATTTTTTTTGCATCCCCTCCTGGCTGTTGAAATTTGGCATTGAAAAGTTTTTTTATTTTTTATCATATTTTAATTTAATTCCCTTTTTTTTTTATAGTATGGCCGATGGCACAATGGGCAAATTGGACCTCATGTGACGTGACGTGTGGTATGGGAAGTAAACTACGAACACGAAGATGTTCGAATCCATTGCCCGAGCATAAAGGAAACGATTGTATTGGAGAAAGTTTACAAAGTAGTCAATGCTCAAGAGAAAACTGTACAGGTAGATATTTGAAAATCCATACCAAATGACAGACAGGCACATATCCAACGGTTGATGATCTCCCGTCCAAAAACTTAGTTGAAGAATCGGAAAACACATGTCGGTTTAAGTTGAAATTTTCAATGCAAAATGAAGAAAATGGCAACCTAAGTCAACGGACAGACATCAAAAATTTCGTGTTAAACGACATTCGTTTGATCTGTTTATCTTCTCTTTTTATGGACGGAATGAAGCTTAAAAACACCATTGGATATTTGTAAGGATGGCTGGATGGATGAATACTATTTTTTTATAAATGAAATATATATATAAGTGTTTCTTGCAGTAAAGTAGATCTTCGTACAGTTTGCAAAGTTTTCCAAGTCAAGTCATGAAATATTTTCAACGGTTACCACTAACGTTTTGCTTTATTTTATCAACATGTTAGCTTATATATATATATATATCTGGTTTTGTAGAACATGATACATTAATCACAAGCGCTTTTTGATGACTGTTATAAATGTTTGATGACAAAGAAAATCTTATATCTATAGACAAACAAAATTATTATTTATTTATGTTTTATCATAATATAAAAGTTAATTAGCTTGGTGGAGTTAAACAGTAATTTCTTTTAAATCATTTATCAGGATGTTTGATATTGTATTTGATGTATATAAAGTTATTCAATTGTGCATACAATGACTGTTTATAATATATTTTAGCGTTCAAGTCTGCCTTTTCTGTGAAAGGTCCACATACCTTCAATCAGATAGATGGTATAGACGGGATTGGCTATCTTAACTTTACAAGTACCATTTACCAGTATGGAAATGACTTTACTATCTCAAATGGAACATATAGGTGTAGCATACCTGGCGTGTACCACTTTTCTTCAACACTGGTGAAGAGAAAGGCATCACAAATTCATATGGTTTACTGTAGACTATTCAAGAATTATAAGCCATTGATTGAGATTAGAGTGAATCCATCTGACGAGGATATACACGAGGGAAATGCTGCGGTATCCCAGTCTGTTATCATTGACCTTGATATTGGTGACACAGTGTATATTGGTAAATGCATAGGCCAACCTAATGATTACTTGGAAGAATGGTCTTCTTTTACCGGATTTCTGCTATTTCATAATAATTAAATTCGACTTAGCTTGCAATTATCGAATTGTTTATCATGTACAATAGCGTAAATATGTTAAACGTTAATTTTCACTTTTTTATTTGCTTTCTGTGTCGAAAATAGCTATTATGTTTTGTTTCAAACATTTAAATTAAACCTAATGAAAAAGAAACGATCATCTGCAGATTAAGATATGTATTACTAATCAATTACAATTTTTGTGTTAAATTATATTCATTTATCAAAATGTTTTGTACACAGGTTTAATTTATTTGCTATGAATGTGTGCGATATACCCGTTACTTCTCCAATTCATTTGCTTAGCGATTTAACGAAGTTATGGTTTACCCCTATGGTATATTAAGCAATAGATTTTACGAAAGTGCTATTTGTTAATTTTGTGTGTCGATAAGTTGTGTTTTTGTTATGACAGTAGCTTAACCAGTTGCTTGTTTGCTTGTTTTAATTTCCTTGAATTAAATTTCCTTCACTTTTTTGACACGTGTGTCAAATTTTGATCACTTGTTTCAATCAGCTTATTTCAGTTGATCATAATGGAAGAAATACATCAATTCAACACCATTCGCCTGATTTGATTTACTAAGACAGTCTGTCCGATCACCAAGCAGATTTTCAAACCTTTCCGCAAGGCGTTTCTAATATATATTTTAACACTGACTGACAATGCCCCTTTCTGTGTAGGTTGTAATGAAAATTTTAATGTCAAGCATTTTCTTCTTGAATGTCATGATTTTTCACAGGCCCGTAATAGATTTTATTCTGTAAATTCACTCAAAGAACTTTTTAATACAATTCCATCAAAAAACATAATTGATTATTTAAAAGAGATAAACTTGTATTCTAGGATCTAATTGGCTCATTTCTATTGTCATTTACAATGTTTTACATAATATTTTAAGCCTATTATAGCATTCGGCACGATATGGCCAGTTATGTGTTGACGTGCCGTAAAAATCCAAACAAACAAAAGTTATATTTATGTGCATTGTGCGTTATGTCTATTTTGATTAAACTTTTAATGTTTACTGGCGAGTATTATTTGTTTGAATTGGATGTGAAAATACAGATTGCTATTCAAATGCAACAATGTTTCATTTTAGTTTGAAATATGATTTATTGCATATCTTTTAGTGTCTTTTCATTTAAATTCGAACAATTTTGTAAGCTTATATGCATGTAAACTTTGAGTGGGAAACGATGACAAATTTTAGCGGAACACTAAACTGAATTTTAAGTCGTTTTTATTGAACTTCAGTGGTTAACGAAATGACAAAAAGAAAACAACTGTCGGTAAAAATCTTTTAATACATTTACTGACACTAAGTGTTACATGTTTCCTTACAAGGCAATGCAATGTACTACAACTAAACCGAAACAGTTGATATGTCAGTTAATGAAAGTGAAAATTAGCGTTACGGTCAGAAAACATTTCTAGTAAGATAACTGATAATTTGTTAATTTTCAAAATGTTTACATTGTTGATCGTCCTTGAAACGTGGCTTTGTAGTTTGCCTTATTATTCAAGGGCAATACGTGTATGCTTACTAACTTTAGCAATAAGATCAGATCAACTTCATGGTAACCACTTAACCTTTTCTCCGATTTGTTACGCTGTAAAGAAATATAATGTCTCATACTACATGTTTAGAGATGTAACATTTTATTTAAATACTAACAGCATACTACGCATTCAGATAAGCTATCGGCGGAGGTGCTATAGAATGGAATTTGATCATAAAAACACAGCATAAACTGATCATGAAGTGCACTTGATTAAAGAAGTTTGAAGATTAGCCGGAGAATTATACAAGCCCCTTGCTTTGTATTATTCGAATGCAACAAGAAGAATTTATAAACATTTGCAACTGTAAGCGCTTAAGAATAACAGGCAAACATTTTTCTATCAACAACAACATTAGAATGTTAATGTTTTAAAAATATAGATTTAATGTGATAAACGATGGCGTGCCGTTTTCAGTTTGTAACATTAAAAATGAAAAAAAATACAAATAGGATACGTACGGAGCCCCTAAGGGAAAAACGTGTGGAAAATGTCACCTAAGGGGCACCGTAAAGACGAGCAATTGATTTAAAGTTGTTTATAAATAGATAATGACTTGCTTTTGCGGAGATGTTGTTCTGATATTGCACGATAACTAACTGATAATTTCCTCTTCACAAATTCGATTTAAGTTCTTCCTCTCTACGGTATAGTTTTTATTATTTAATGACATGTACTTTATATCTCGTTCACAATCATTAAATTCTAAATAAAGAACGCCAGAAACAGACTTAGTATAGAGAAAACCAATCAAAATCTGATCACGGGATTCAAGTTGTTTAGGATTTATTGTCAGAATACTTTCACTTACTTTTACGTTTAATAAAATATTCAAGATAATATTTAACTATCAAACTAACATCCAACAGATGTAATAATCGCAAATTAGTTAAAACTGATTTTATATAAACTTAAGGTTATCAACAAAAGTGTAAAATCCCTAATGAATGGTTAAAACGACAAAACTGAAAATGTTGCATGCTCGGTTTGATTGAGCCTGATCATGGACGGTACTGGAAAGTGCAAGTTACGGTCCATGGCCCCTAGCCCTAGCGTGTAAGGTCAAACAACCAAATTCTATATAAATAGCATAATAGAGTTTTGCTTGTTTTGTGTACGGTTTAAATATACACTTCAACTAAGAAATAATAATCTAAGACCCAATAAAAATTAAGACGGTAAGAGAATGAACCTTTAACCATGATTCAAGTTTTTCATTTGTGAGAGCCTGACGATTTCCATGAATGTCGTTAATTAAAATGTCTCGTAAAAGACGGAAGACAAAATCTTCCTACATCTGAATGTTTACATTATCAAATTAGACATATCAGTAAGGACAAATTGATATTGTAAATTTTTGTGAGACTTTAAACAATTATTGAGCTAGATAGATGCATAAGTTCATCAATTTGTCGGAGGAATATGGTGTGCAATTTACGTTATCAAATACAGATTTATAATCAAATGATACTTTTCCATTGCAGATTATATTTGCGAAAGGAAATCGTCCATAATCCTTCAAATTGTAATTCACAATTTATTTATTTTGTGTGCGTGTTTTTTGTGTGTAGGACAAAAAGACCAAAAGGGCGTGGGGACATTTACAGAACGTAGCCCTATCACAGCAAGGTGCCAAGCATGGTTCCAAACAATCGGAAGAGGTCACATCATAAAAATATTTCCATAAAAATACTACAAATTACAGTTAAATACAGCAAAAACATCCACATATTATTTTTGTATTATAAATCTTTATATGTGTATGGGTCGGTGGCCATATAACTCAATAAATTCTGTACGTAAATTGTGACAATATCCAAAGAATGTGAGCAACAAATGATTACTCATCTTCTCGTTTTAAGACGATTTCCAAAAATAAAAATGGTGAAATTATCATGAAATAAACAGTCAAACAAATTGATAAAGTAGGTATGCAAACTAGTGAAAAGACTAATAAGACATGGAGCACATGTGTTATCTGCCATATTTCCGACATCTTCTCCATTTTACTGTTTGTATTTTTTGTTCTTCGTTGATATTTATTCAAGTAGCCATTATACATGTATTTAAAACGCCTCTAGAGTTGGTGATAATAAGCCCTTAACTACACTGTAATCGCAAGTTCAGCTCAAAAACAGATAATAACTGTTTTGTTTGACATGCTTAATCCAATACTTCATGAGCATTTTGTGCAAAATGGCTATTTTCATTGAAAAGCCTCCTGTTACAAGTTCAAATTGCTATGAAACTATAAAAAAAGGCTTCAATACTGTTCAAACTTGGCACAAATGTTGACTGGACCATGGCCTTTGTAACAGCTTACTCTATTGTAAATTTTCTGTAAGAATGACAACGAGGGGGCATCTCAAAATTGCCAGAAATCACTATTTTAGGTAAACTGTTGATATTTCCATCAAAACTGATTTTAAAATGCTTTAACTTCTCAATGGATTGAGTTAGAGTCAAAGGCTAATCAGCGTTGGTTTCACGTTACCTTTAGGTCGGTCTGAGGCCAATTTTAGTTTCTCACAAGTCCAAAAAAATTTTGGTGGTCAAAGTAGGGTATTCTTTTCATTTTTAGGCCTTAAAAAGGGGAAGAAAAGACATGTTAAGACGTCTATAATAGTAATAGGTAAAGTTAACAGAAAAAGATGAAACATATTGGAATTACCCAAACTCGAGTTTTTCCATGTTAAAACATGGCCTTACACATACTTTTGAAAAAATATTGTTGTTTTGCGGCATTTCTTTTCTCAATAACAGAAAATGATGAATAATATTAGAATTTCCAAACTCGGGTTTTTCCATGTTAAAACATGACCTTACACACACATTTGAAGCAAAATTGTTGTTTTGCGGCATTTTCTATTGTTTTCATTAATGAATGGCGATATTTATAATTGAAATAAACTTTATTGCTCCAAGAACTGTGATTTCTTTCTGAACCTTGCTATTAATTCATTGCTTCTGTTCATAAAAACATATATAGCTGATAAAAATACATTTATCATATCGCATAGCTTCGCTGATGCCATTATTGTTGTATTTTTGTGTTTCCCTTATATCAGAATGCTTCCCTTTAACAATGAAAACGCATTGAGACAAAAGATAAGATAATCTCACGTTAAAGGTTGAAATACATTCAAACATGAATCTCAAGAAATAATGTTTTGTAATTTCATTGCATTGCTGTATAATTTGTTTATAGATTTTATGTTCCATATAATGAAAGGTCTGACAAGATACAGACGCCAAAAATAACTAATTCCTATTTATGTGCAAAACCAAAATGTAAAGGATCTCAAAATAATCATTATTTTTAGTCGAAGCAGAAAATGTTAAAACATGGCTGATAGCCTCAAATGAGTGTGCGGTGTAAGAAATCTATTATGGCGTCATAGATGGGCGCCAAATTTATGCAAAGTTGTCTTTTTACTGTTACCTATAACCCACATAAAGCACATCAAATACTATACTATGTATTCAGCCTGGTGCGTTGCTATCCCATTTAACATGTGAAATTTAAAGATTAATTAGAGTTTTCCGGGGGCATACCCCAACAGAAATTTTGAATAACTAGACAGGTGCCCACACACTCCACTGTTTTGTCAATGTAATGACTTCAGGTCAAATATTTTTAGGCTATATGTGCCACAAGTTGAAAACTAAAAATCGTTTACTAAGTCAAGGGCAAGAACATTACAAATACTGAATAAATCCACAAGCAAACCCCAAGAAGCATAAGTACATGGCTGACCAACATTCTTGTAAACTTTCAGACCTACAGGTCAAATATTTTTTGAGTTATGCATGAAAATGTTGAACATTGCAAATTTATACTAAGTCAAGGGCAATAACTCTAAAAATACTAAACATATCAACATGACAATACCCAGGTTTACAACTACACATGCTGATCAACATTCCTGTAAAATTTTATGACTCTATGTCAAATACATTTTGAGCTACATGTGACACAAGTTGAAAATTGCAAATATTTACTAAGTCAAGGGCAATAACTCAAACAAAACAGAATAAATACACAAGCGAAACCCCAGGTGCACAATTACACATGCTGAGCAACATTCTTGTA